GAAATTCCTTGTTTGTCTCTTGGGGATCAGTCCCAATGCAGTACATTTGCAAGAGAATGATGAGGGTCTGAGGGAGGGGCCACTGGTGATCCAGGGAAGGCAGTCTGAGTCCTGTGCTGGAGAGCACCACTAAAACTTCACTTACATTTGTTCCGGAGTTTGTAGAGGGAGCGTCAGTGCAGAATTTCATTCCCAGTCTGTAATAATCTGTTAGGTGCTGGATCTTTAACAAGCAATCTAGTGAGCAATACCTTTAAATCTGTTGCCAATATGTAATTAGTTGAAGGTGTTATTGCTGTGAACAAGCCAACTGATTTGATACTGAACACACCCAATCCTAATTACATGGTCAATGCCTGGACGATGTAATTTGTAGAATGTTCAATATAGATCTTTGTTCACTATAGCAAACTGGAAGGGGAAAAGCAGGCTCTTTGGAGATAGCAAGAGCTGGCCACAGCTCTCAGCTTTGCCAGGTATCAGCTCTGAGTCTTTTGTCGATCTGGTCTTTGCCAACCTCCTTGTCCACAGCTGTACAGCAGATGTCATCATGTGAGTCTTCTATATCAGAAGAGGGCTCAGTGAGACCATGTACATGGCAGTGTCTGCACTTTCCCTTGCACTTCCCAGTGGTTAGTGTCAGTTGCCTGTAATTTTTAAGTCTTGGGACATGAACTCTCAGATACAAGGCCCAGGCTCAGTTCCTGTGTCACGCTTTCATGTCCTGAAGAACTGAAAGCATTTCAGAATGCTTTATGAAAGCTTTTCTCATCTTGTTGTCTTTGCTGAAAGAGCAATGTTACCCCTAATAGGAAGAGAGAAGAGAGAAACGGGCTTTAGATAAATTTTAAAAAAGCAAAACACAAAACACACACACATACACACACACACACACACACACACACACACACACACACACACACGCAAGTAGAAGACAGAAGAGAGAGAGAAGAACCACAGAAGAGGTCCACCCAATAGGGAATGTGAATTTCATAGAGAAGTCACAAGTTTTTTTCAGAGCCAAGTCACTGCAAGCTGCAAAGCCCAGACCAGGCGATAGGATCAAAAAGACCCATGCTCAAAGCCTGACTTCCATAACTATTAATTGGTAAGTTTCTTACCCACTCAGCCGCTCAGTCTTCAAATGAGAAAAATAGCAACAGCCACACACCCTGTGGCAGCACTCTTCGTCTAAATCCTCAAGACAGCCCCCACGATAGAGAGCTATCAACGCCATTTGACAGCTGAGGAAACCTGCTAAAGGGCGTGTCTGTTAAAGATCACACAGCAAGGTTCTGTGGTAGACAGCCTGGTTCCTTGGTACCCCTTGCACTCCATCTACAGTCCCAGCAGGACATGAGGAAGGGGGTGCTGCAAAGAGCCCAGTAGGCCCTTGAAGGGTGCTGGCACAGGGCTGCCCCACTTTGCCTTCCCATGGCTAGTCCCTCCCCGGCTGTTTAGCTTTTGTTATCCAGGTAGTAGGTGTTACTATGCTAGAAAGTTTGTTCTGCTTGAGAGGAGCTTTACCCCAGAAGGAACCCCAGTGCGGCCTCACCTCAAACACCCTGAAAGTTCCCTGTGAAGGAAGATGGGTTGGGGTGACAGCAGATAACTTCAGTGGTTGGTTGTACTGGTTGTACTCCTGGCTAAAAGCAAATCTGTCAAG